TATATATATATATATATATATATATATAACTATATAACAAAAGAGGCCGGTTCGGTCCCCTTTTTTGCTAATTCAAAGAAATTAAAATCAATATTAATATTAAAACCAGTTCACTATTTTTTAATATAAAAACTGGACCAACCCGACAAAACTGGTCCAGTTCAAACGGTTTAGTTGAGTTTTTAGTAATTATCTCCAACCCTAGTTATTAGTTTACTTCGTTAGATGCAGCCGTGTATTTTATTTTATTTTCACCATATTTGGGCGGGCTTGGCCATCTTCTATACCATCATATTATGTTCCAAAACCCTGTTTTTCTTGTTATACATCGTTAACAAACTAAGCGTTGTTGAAGAAAAATTAGTATAGTACGAATAATATAGAATTCTTTTAAATGAGCTTGTTGACAAGCCAAACATGTTCTAAGCATGGAATTAAGGAGATCTACTCCTCATTCTTCTCCTATAAATACCCTCCACCTGTTAAGTTCAGGATTCTTAGAATTAGCTTTCCTTGCCAAATGTACACTTTCATGTAATTCCTCTTAACTCATCTTTAGAAATTAGGCATTGGTTATTTGCTACAAAGTTGAAGTACATTGAAGAGCTTATGAGGCTACAAAACCAAGATAATTTGTGCATTCATTTATAATGGGCATCAATAAGGAAATCATCATTTGCATCCATATACTTTGTCGAGATGACTAGTCATATAGGCCAATATTTTTAGCACGTGATTTTGCTTATTGTAAGTCTAATCATTGGATGTCAAGTGTCCTTTTGACCTACCAAAAAGGTTGGGGCTGGTCTGGACTCACCATCTCTCTCATTTAAAATTTCTGATATGGTTTTTAGAGAGAGAGAGAGAGAGAGAGAGAGAGAGAGAGAGCTTTAGTGAGAGAATAGGTATGGATTTTGATTTTGAGAGGCATTTTTTTGCCTCTGCCATTTTCACAAAGAAAGGTTTTGAGAGCTTTGATTTTCCTCTACATCTTCTCTACGAGAATGAGGTCTGCATCTTTGAGAGAGGGAGAGAGAGAGAGAGAGAGAGAGAGAGAGAGAGCTTTAGTGAGAGAATAGGTATGGGTTTTGATTTTGAGAGGCATTTTTTTGCCTCTGCCATTTTCACAAAGAAAGGTTTTGAGAGCTTTGATTTTCCTCTACATCTTCTCTACGAGAATGAGGTCTGCATCTTTGAGAGAGGGAGAGAGCTTCTTCTTCTCTGCATTTGTAGCTAGGTATGGTTTGAGTTTTCAAATAGCTTTTGAAATATGCTTTTATTTTCGAAATCTACTTCACACATTGAGAAATTTTGAGAGTAAAACTTATTTTCTAAGGTTTTTCATTGTGAGATTTTGAAAATGATTTTTTAAAATTTGCTATGTTTTTTATAATCTGCATATGGGTTCAGTTATGACTAGTCATCTTCTTTTGTCAGCATATGGGTTTATTATGACTAGTCATCGTCTTTAGTATAGATCAGATTCTTAGTTGATTTCTTCAAGAGTATGGTTTCTTGAAAGAATTAACCCTTTCATCTCATAATCTATATCTCATTATGTTTGTTCAATCTGGAGCTGAGTCTTCGGTGCCATGGAGTGAAGGAGTTGATGGACTAGTTGCCACTTACATGACGGACTAGCTACTAGCTGAACCAAGTTGGAGAAGAAGATTGCATAGAGGAGGCATAGCTTGTTTCCTAAATAGATCTATGATTTCTTGAGCTTGCTTGTGTATTCTCTATAAGAATCTTCTTTATTTAGTGGATTGTCTAGTCGGATGATGACCCCCAGTTTTTCCCAGTGGTAGGTTCTCTGGTTTTGTTGTTCACGATTTTCTGGGTTTGTGTTCTTGCTGTTGACTAGTCATCTTCTGATGTTAATGTTTTTCTGGGTTTGTGTTCTTACTGTTGACTAGTCATCATCTGATATTTGTTGTTCATATGGCTGTGATGTATTCACACACTTACCACCTTAGTTGTTGCTAGCACAGTGGATGCCTAGATTGACATATCCTTCTGAGTGCCTAGGTTGTCACTAGTAATCTTATAGGTTTGCAGGTATTGATCATTGTTTTTTGTGTGTGTGTGTGTTTGTTGCTAGTTTTTATGACTAGTAGTTGACTAGTCATATTTGTCTGTGGTTAAGTTAAAAGTGTATGGATATTGTTGAGTCCGTTATATTGGCATTTAATTTACCCCCACTTCACCTAAGTACCAATTTCACCACCTACATTCAAATAAATGTAATAACTTCTCTACTCATATAACCTTTATCCATTTGTTCTCTCAAAACACCATTTCCTCCACTTTGACTTAGGCATCAACGAGGGTTGGCTGGTACTACACTAGTACCTCTTTGGTGACTTGTTCTCCAAGTTGTGCAGGTCATTTGTGAAGGAAATTTGCCATATTTTTGAAAATTTCATTACGCCATGACCTATATTAACCTTTAATATATGCAACATAAGCCATTTAAGGAAGATTTAGCTTAAAACTAAACTTTTCATCATATACTATGTGTTGATTGTTCCATGACTCTACCACTACACTTTAATGAAGGAAAGAAGAGGTTTAACTTTGATAAACCACCTTTGAGATATCTCAAGGTCTGTCACCCTAGGGAGGGCCTTTTCCTTTTTGGTTCTCAAGAAAGAGCACTATTAGAATCATCATTCTCACATATATAGGATGACGTGGAGCACGTGTGGTTATTGGACTAAGCATAATACGTAAGTACATATATTGGGTGACATAGAGTACGTGCACGGTCATTGCGTGTCAAATGTGGGCAAACCCACTATGATACTATAAAAGAAGTTGAGATTCCACCCCAAAACCCCAATTGACAATGTGGGGAGTAACCCAACTTCTTATAAACTCATGCTAAGAGCCTTCACTTTCAAATATTGGACATTTTTTCCATCCCGTTTAAGTTTATAAATATAATACATATATTTCTAGTTAATTCACAATTTTAACCTTTTAAATGAAATACGTGCAACTATCTTCCAACATTTAAAATACTTTAGAAACATTCGATATATTTTTGAACAAATAAGGACATTCACGGGAACAAGTAACATAGTTAGTAAAATACAAAATGGGAAATGTACAAATAAAATACGTATGTAGTAAAATTTTTTTAAAATACAATGGAGTTTTCTGCCACTATATCATATTTTAATATTATTTATTTAAAATGGTAATATATATTAATTTTCATTTAATACAATGTGAAAAATACATGTATAATACGTGAATTTTTTCATATTATTGAAAATTTTATAATAAAGTATGGTAGATCTATAAGGTCTATACTCAACTTCCCAGAAGTAGACTTCATTGAAAATTTAAGCCATGTTCATAAATAACACCCATGGAGAGGCATAAGTTCCAAAGACAATAAGATGCTTAAAAATTATGCATGCATATACACATGAGAATTATAGGATCACGAATTAATGATAATGAATGATAATTTTGATTTTATAATATATCTATTAGGACCACTAAGAGCAAAAATGATCACCAAATTATAAATGTTACATATGAAGGTTCTGAAGAAAAAAAAAAAAGTACGTATATATAGGAGCAAACAGTTAGGACCACTAAGAGAATTTCCGTTGCCAAACTAGTGAGAAGTGGAATCTCTGTCTCTCTCTCTCTCACAGTCCCTCTCTTTTGTTTTGGTTGGAGATATCTTTCTTTCGTTTTTTTCATTTCCTTTCTTTTTTTCCCCGAAATATTGGGACGTGTATAGAAAATCCTAAATACTTAAAGAAAATTATATTTTCTTTCTTTCTTCTTGAAGAAACTCAAAGTAAATGATTGATGAATACATTAACAGCATGTCATTGGTAATCATCCAGCTGTTATAAGGGCCAAGTTTGATGTTGCAGGCTAAATATGATAGAATTGAAATGATAACCACCGTTGGCCTTCCTAAAAATGTTCTGCACCACTGGAAGAATGGCTGGCTTTAGATGCACTAAACCACACCCTACCTATAAAACATGATACATAATGTTCTCTCTCTCACAACTACTCTAAAAATATTTCCGGTCTTCTTCAACCTTTCTCTCACTAAAACGTAGAGAGGGAAAGAAGACCTTTTTTGAGATCAAAGAAATTAATATGGGTAATTGCGCTAGTGAACCCAAGACCAAGGGTGATGATGCTGCTGGAGTCCCAGCACCCGAGCCCAAGACGGAGGAGTCGGTCCAGGGCAACGAGGTGAACCGCGAGCTGCTTCAGGAGGAAAACAAGGCTGATGATGGAGATGCTCAGCAAAACAACGATGCTGATCATAACAAGCAACCCTCTCTTGGGGCCTTGCTCAAGGAGGTATAGATATATATTATCTCTTCTCCTCTTAATTGATTATATAGGCTGTGTGCATGCATTAACTTGTATATGCATTTTGGATGATTTCTTATGTTTTGGCCTAGATTTTTTATCTGCAAATTACATGTTCACACACCTGTTTATGCATGTGCTTATAAATATTGATGTATTTCTCACACTATAAATACAGGAAGAAGAAAAGACAGCTCAAGTTGCGGCAAAGCTAGAGGAAGCCGAAGAAAAGGCAAAGACGACTGAAAAGAAAGAGGAAGTAGTGGTTGAGCTGGAGAAGGCATCTGAAGCAGCACCAGTTGCAGTTACCCAAGAAGACAAGAAATCTGATATTGAGGAGAAGAAACCAGAAGTGAAGGAGACCACACCAGAAGTGGAGGAGACCAAACCAGAAGTGAAGGAGATTAAACCAGAAGAGAAAGTGACAAAACCAGAAGAAAAGGATACAAAACCAGGAGAGAAAGTGACAAAACCAGAAGAAAAGGAGACAAAACCAGAAGAGAAAGTGACAAAACCAGAAGAAAAGGAGACAAAACCAGAAGAGAAAGTGACAAAACCAGAAGAAAAGGAGACAAAACCAGAAGAGAAAGTGACAAAACCAGAAGAAAAGGAGACAAAACCAGAAGAAAAGGAGACAAAAGAGGAAAAGAAGGAGCAAATATGAAGACCTGCTAAGGGAGTCACTGTGGGCCTATAATTTCTACTACAAGACTTTATAAAAATTTTGTGTGTTTCCAAATGATTTGAAGAGAAAGCTATTAGATTGGTTGGGGAAGAATGAGTCTCCTTTCTTTGTTTTGGTTGTATTTGCTGGTTTAAATATGGTTTTTCTTGGTGAATCTTTTTAGTATATTTCACAATATCCTCAGATGTTTAATGCGTTTTCGATTTAGACCCTCGATTTTCCTAAATCCCAGTATGACTAATTGAGATTTGCTTTCGTTATTAGTTTGCATATTAGCCACAACAGAAAAGGTATAAAAAAAAAAAGAAGGAAGAAAGAATTGATTGTAAATACCAAATTTACGTGAAACTTGTTTGATGAATAAACCAAATTCAATTGAAGGTTCATTAATTTTCTTAATTCATGGGCATGTACAGTCAAGTTTCCGAAGGTCATGCTTGTTCACACGTTTACACATTAATGATGAATATGTATTTGGGGTAAATTCATGTTTTAGAATTAAACCATGTGAATACCTAGCTATGTAACCTTGTCATTTGAATCAAGTGGAATCATTTGAAATAAAGAAATTTCTTTTTAGGATATGATTGTAATCAAGCACAAAGGTCATACAAATATGAAAGCACAGTAACCACATGGTTAAACAAAACAAGCGTACACGTGGTGTATCTCCACTAATAGCCACATAAGACCACATCGCCTGCCCTATCTCGTAGTAGCGCCACCACCTCTTAATCTAAATTTAAATCTTTTCCTTCATTCAAAGCAAGTTAACGTTTGTGTTTACAAATTATAAGATGATGATCCCATCTCTCATGATCACTTTGTGTTTTGGATATTTATGGTTCTTCTAGATTTGGTTGAGAATGCGGTGAGGAAGAAGAATCAAGGACTATTTGGAATTTCGGTGAATGAGAGTTAAGAAAAGAGCATACATACATTATGATGAATAGAATGGGAGAGAATCATAAGATCTTATATCCATTCTCATCGATTGCATCCCATATTTGGTGTTATTTGGACGATAACCATTGGTTTTCTTTGAATTTGGCTGGAAATTATCATTGTTTTGGATGATTATTAATTTATTATTGTAAATTCTACAAGACAATCACATCCAAACTATTGGTCTCAACACGCGGTTTGAGGACTAACTTTCAAGCCATAAATGATTTTTTGCTAACAAACGTGGTTCAAACAATGTACAAATTTCCTTTATTAGGCTGTGTTTGTAATATAATCGAAATCGACTGAGCACATTCAGTTCTGAGGGATTGGCCCATAAGCAGACCCACAGCCTGCCGAAGGTAAGATACTTCTGGAAAATCCCCAAACATTGATAACGTCAACATGACCTCAGCTATTGAAGACATCTCCCTCTAATATGGCAATAGTTTGCCGAAGGCGATTGCTGAAGCTCACAACTACATAACCTAAGCTTTGGACATGTGTTACTAGCACATTGATTTGCACAAAGTCCTACATCGAAACTTTGTGTAAATACTCACCTTAATTTCTCTATAAAAGGGGAATAGTGTCTAGGTAGAAAGGTAACTACTTTTCACCGTTACTGTTACTCTATCAAAATTACTGTGTAACCCACACTTACTGACTTAAGTATTGAAGAGCCTTTAACATGTACCACACCAGTAATCGAAGTTTGACGATTATTTCTTCCATCCTTCTTTTGAGGATGACCTTGTGACCGAATATCCCTCTTTCCAAAGGAACACAACCCGTAG